CTCAGTTTATTTCCTTTAATTGAGTAAAAGTATATAAACAGAGATATTTCGGAATAGGATGACGACAGGTCATTTCCACTTGACCGGGTTTGCATTCAATCTCTCGTTTCTCTCCTCTCACCCTTTCTTCTCTTTTGTTCCGCCATTACTAATGATTCTTCAACTTAACAGTATACTTCACTTGAAAGTGCCAACAAAAAAAAAATTTAACTAACAGAAAAGAAGGAAAAATAAAGAGGGGTTACACTGACCTTAGTTCTTGAAATCGAAATATGTGAAAAATTTGCTTAGTTAAAAGATCGATATTACGGAAATGAAAGAAAATGACTAAACATGGAAATTAAGGAAAGAAAAAGTACATGAAGAAGAAAAAAGAAAATTAACCAAAACTCTTGGATATTTTAGTTTCTCTTTCTAGTTTCTTTTTTCTTCTTGTTGGATAACTTAGTGTAAATGTTAAATACTGTGTAAGCCACTTGTAATACTAATTTAATAGCTATCTATGTAAAATCAAAATCTAAGAGAAGTACATAGTAGTGTGTAAGCCACTTGTAATACTATTTTAGTTGTTATTTAGGTTAAATCAAAATCTCTGATACCCACTTGGTAACTAATAAGTAACATGCAAAGAAACTTGAAGGAATCTCTACTAAAGAGGTTGTCATCATGTGGACTTCTCCTTCCCCTTTTCTTGAATAAATTTTGTTTCAACTTGGTATACGTAATATAACTTGCTTAAAGACAAGTTGTAATTTAGATAGGGAGAAATATGGGGGAGAAGAGGCCTATAAATTCATGGCCTTTTATGAAGCAAAAAATTGCACTCCAATAATATATTTTCTTATATATCTTTCTCCCTCTTATAAGCTATACTATTGTTGTCATGGCTCGCAGTTATGCTTTCTATTTCACTGTTGCGCTTATGGTGATGTCTGGTAAATGACCTTTTAATTTTCTACACCTCACTCTCTTTTTAGTTGATATGTCTCTATGTAGGTTTACATAATTAATACATATATATGTCTAATCTTTTACACATCCGGACAACAATGATATATATAACATATTGATTTTGACACTTGATTGTTTTTATTGGATTACAGTGTATTTGGCTGAGACGCCGAAAGTGAAAATACTAGCTGTGAGAGAGTTGTCGAATGTAGCAGCACAACTTAATTCAGAACTAACTGGCTTCAGTGTTTGTGGTGCAGCCTGCCATTTTTCAAGTGAATGTGGTAGGGCGTGTCCCCATTGTTACTACAATTTTAGGTATCCTGGCTACTGGTGCACCGCCTAAAGGATAATTGATGGCCAACACAATATGATTGATTATCGTCTTTGCTTTTGTGTGTTTTCCTTTCTCCATTTCAGCTTTCTTTAATTTTCTTATGGAAAGAAAGAAAAAAAAAACGATTAAGTTCTACTTCTACCTAGATCAGGACTATATATCGGATGTAAGATGAGATGTTGGCCGAACTATTCCTGCTATATTTGTAGTTTGTGTTTTGAATAAAACTAGTCTATCATTTTGCTTATCAAAATCTCTGTTGCCTCTTTATTAGTTTCTATCGTATACATGATTACGTAAAATACTATTCCGATCCGTTGGAAGCCAGAGTCCGGGACCTATGAAGATCTAACAACCAAATTTAAAATAAGTGGGCGACTAATTCAATATTTTTAATAATAAATATATATAAATAATTTCTCTATTGTAAATAATATTAATTGTAAAATAAATATTTACTGCCTTTTTTTATAATTTAACACTCAAAAATACTTTTTGTAAACCAAACATAATTTGCTTCTTAAATATTATTGTACTTCTCAAATAAATTTGCCAAACATAAACTCATACGTTCCAAAAGTAGTTTTTAAAATAAGCAGTTCAACAACTTGGTCAAACCGGCTCTACATACACTTTGCTCCTAGTACGCCGAACATCATTAACTCATGGAATATCTACATTTATGGTGCATAAATGTACATAGACTAGGACTTTGAACCAAGTGCAAATAAAAAACGATAAACGTTTGGGGGTTCATTGAATTATTATTTTATGCACTGATTTAGTGAATGTATTAGTTAAATTAAGAAGTTAAATATGGACATCCATTGATTTACTGCCTTTCGATAATTATTAAGACTCTTTAAAGAGGTCTTTTTGAAGAGGATATAAAATTAACTCAACCAACTCCAAATTACTTGAGTATTACATATTTCTTTAGGAAGCATGATGAGGTTTTTCGGGACTTTTTCGTATATAAAAAGTTTTAAGCTTATTTACCCGGTGTATCTAAGTTTTTCTATTTACTGAAGGTAATTAAAGTTTTTTTTATATATAAAATATATACAAATCCGGTCAAAATCTACAATTTATCTACAACCTGAATATAATTTTTTTAACAGAAATTCAGTCAAAAACTAGAATTTATATATAAATTATAGACAATTATGTTAGTTGTATATATTTTGTATCCGTATCAATACTCGACATATAAATTATATACACAATTTGCTTATGTGATCTTCCTCGAGTTTCAATCTGGAATTCCAATCAAAATCAACTCGAATCTTCACCAAATTCGCTCAAAATTAGATATAAACTTCAAATGATATCCCCAATCATTTACAACAACACCCTGTCCAAACAAATAACAATTTCATAAAATTTAATTTTTGAATTCAAAACTTCGAAGATTTTAAGTGGATGTCAATATAGTTTTTTTATGAATTAACAGAGTTTGGTTCCAAAACCTTTTGTCCATAGGCGTCAAAGCTGAACAATTTGATCAATGACAATAATCCAACAGCATATAGCATAAGTTTGTTCCTCGAAAAAGGAATCTAGAAAGGAATCTCATGAACCAAATATTTTCGTTAAGTCCTATGGCTCCTATATTTACCCAATTTTCGATTCCGGAGATACACAAATTTGTCTTTTTGGTTGTGATTATTTTTTATTTAGTGAATTTTGAAAGAATCATTTGGTTGAATAAACAATTATGCGTGAGAAAAAAAAAAGCTGGGAGAGAAAATGTGAAAGATTAGATTCTAATTCATTATTTTGTATGTAATTGGTAAAATTTATATCAACTTGTAATTAAATTAAAATTTCATTATTAAGGGTACATAAAAGTAATATAGATAAGTAAAATTTCTTCTTTTTATCAAGGTCCACCAGCTTACTGTGGGCTTAGGCCTGACCCTACCAGTATATATCACCCGAAAAAAGTGTAAATTAAGTAATACATAAACTTTCGCTTACAATACAGAATCAGAAGAAAACTATAAGAGGAGGACTCTTCCTTTATAATTTGAGCTTTATCCACAATTCAAAAAAAAAAGCTATAAACTGTACACTCATTAAGCTGTTATCCATTATTCAAAAATCGATACAAATTGTACACTAATTAAGCTGTAATAACCATAATCAAAATTAAACTTTCACCGTCATATTATGTTAACCATTTCTGATTACCACTGAACTCCAATCACTACTGCCTCAGCTTCACATTATGATATCCTTGTAAGGGAACTGGTTATTAGGCTTTATAAGTTAAACTATTGATGCAACGAACACATAACCGGAGTTTCAAGCCCTAATACAAGGTCTTATAAGGATACACTAAATTAGAAATTGAAGTGGATTATTAACATGATAAAAAATGGTGATTGTTTATTTTCTAACTATTTTTATGATTGCAGGTCGTTGCTCACTCACTTGAAATACACGTTGATTGGCCATGCAATATGTCTTTCGAGAACAAAAAATTGGCATAAATCTGCTAGAAAGGAATTAACTACGATGCATAATACGATTACTGCTAATATTGTTAACCTTTTGGCAAATTCCCCGTTGTATATTTTGGATGTTTTGCAATCAAACAAATGGGGGATATTAATGATATTGTAAAATGTGATTCTACAAGCATCACTTATTTTAGAAAAATCGTTTCTTCTATTTATATATTTGTTTGTTTGTTTGTTTGTTTTTTCCCCTAAATGTTGTAGACCTGAATTTTATGCTATAGTCGATGTTATATAGGTTACAGGGAATCTAAATCGTTAAAATATATATACATTTTATACTTGACTCTATCTAATATGCCATTCGAGGGAAACTCAAGGAAGGTTGCTAATTTGCTATAGATGAGCACATATAAAGCCAAGTAGCCAACTGACTTAAGTAGAAATATAGCAATCAATAGGAAAATTATAATTCATTACTGAATATTTGCTATAGATGAGCACATATATATTAAGAAGTCCACTAAATATCTATAAATATTTGATCGTGAACCCAACTATTGTTATAAATTTACTTGAAATCGATGCAGGAACTCATAAGTTTCAAATCCTCATGGCATATATTAATAAGGCAAGCCTTCCGTGGTAGGCTTCATTTACCCCACAAAAATGTATGAAAAGGTAAACTTTTAATTTCCATTCAAGTGTTAACTTGATTTGCGAATAAATTAGAAGACTAGTAGTGTAAGAAATATTAAAATAAAATTTACAAAATTAACTGATCGGAAAAAATATTGATTCCAAGTATAGATTTGTTTCGACAAAAATTTGAAAACGGAAACCTGAGAAGTTATATTAAGTAAGATTATGTAGTTAAATGCGTTTAAACTGAAGATCCAGTTGAGGCACATTAGCCAACTAATCAGAATGATGGGAAAGCTATGCTTTTAAATCAAGTTGCTATTAAATTTAATTAATACTTCTGTTTAGGTTAAAATTTTCGAAATGAGCTCTTGATCTCCAGTAAATTTCATCCCTCTTCTTACGATGGCATATTAGATGGATGCTTAAGTGAGGGTTGCAGAAGTACTTAGTAGTGTGTAAGCCACTTGTAATACTATTTTAATTGTTACTTAGGTTAAATCAATATCTATTATACCCACTTGGTAGCTAAGTAACATGCAAAGAAACTGTAGGGAATCTCTACCAAAGAGATTCTCATCATCTGGACCTCTCCTGCCCCTTTTCTTGAATAAATTGTTTCAACTTGGTTCGTAATATAACTTGGTTAAAGACAAGTTGTAAATTATATAGGGAGAAATATGAGGGAGAAGAGGCCTATAAATTCATGGGCCTTAATGAAGCAAAAATTTGCACTCCAATAACACATTTTCTTATTCATATTTCTCCCTCTTATAAGCAATACTATTGTTGTCATGACTCGCAGTTATGCTTTCTATTTCACTGTTGCGCTCATGGTGATGTCTGGTAAATGACCTTTTAATTTTCTACACCTCACTCTCTTTTTATTAGATATGTCTCTATGTATGTTTACATAATGATTTCAATATAATGTGTAATCTTAATTTTACACGTTCGAACAACAATGGTATAACATATTTATTTTAACACTTGATTCTTTGTTACTGGATTATAGTTTATTTGGCTCAGTCTCCAATACTTGCTGTGAGAGACTTGCCGACGAATGTACCAGCAGAACTCAAATCAAAACTAACTGGTGGTAAGAGTTTGATGAGTGGTTGCGGCGGATACTGCCGCTCGAGCAGTGACTGCTTTGATAGGTATTGTAAGTATTGTTACTACGATGTTATTAACCATACCTATGGTTGCGGCTAAGGGAGGATCATCGATTGCCAATACAATATGAAGTCTGTTGCTTCTCACTATATATGAGTAGAGATGTTTGTGTTGTTTATTGCCTTTGCTATTGTGTTTTCCTTTTCCCGTTTCAGTTTTTCTTTTTCTCATGGAAGAAAATAAAATGACTAAGTTCTACTTCTATCTAGATCAGGACAATGTCGAATGTAACATCAAGATGGGTTGTGTTGGCCTACATTAACTGTTCCTGTTGTATCTGTATTTCTAATTTTTGAATTAAACACTAGTATCATTTAGCTTATCAAGATCTCGGTTTCCTCTTTACTACAGTTTTTGTCATGTACATGATCCCATGCGAAGATACTACATAGTAATTGAAAGCCAGCTTATGGGGTATGCCAGGGGATGGGGCTGAGGGAGGAGGGAGACTTATGAAGGTCCAACAATATTAACAAAAAAAGTGAGTGTACAACTAACCAGGCACTATAAAAGTCTTCGCTCGTTTTGTATCCTTAACGGTTGATGAAATTTCCTAAACATCGGGTAGAAACGGAGGGATTTGTGTGGCTATAAATGTATTTGTGCGGTCTTAATATTGCATTTTGAAACTTGTGGTATCTTAAATCTGTTATATCATTTATGTGACCGTAAATACTTTTTATTAATAAATTAAAATAATAAATGACACACAACTAATAATAATTATATCAAGATTAAGAGTATAAGTACATTGAATGGACTAGAGAAATTATTTTATTAAGTCATCATAAAATACTTATCTCTACTTGATCCGTTCAATACATACAGAATGTACTAGCACAGGAAGTCGGAATTAAACCATTCCCATAATCAAGATAAATTATATTTAATCTTGTGCTACAACCATTCCGATGGTTTGTCCAATTCCATCGTTAGACCGTGAACATAAACTTTATGACTTATAAGAACTGAT